GTTTTGCGGGGTGGCTGTGCCAGGGTGGCTGTGCAGGGTGGCTGTGCCAGGGTGGCTGTGCCAGGGTGGCTGTGCAGGGTGGCTGTGCAGGGGTGGCTGTGCCAGGGTGGCTGTGCCAGGGTGGCTGTGCAGGGTGGCTGTGCAGGGGTGGCTGTGCAGGGTGGCTGTGCCGGGGTGGCTCTGCAGGGTGGCTCTGCAGACTGTGTGAGCCGTGTGGCAGAGCAGGGCTGTGGGGTGGCACAAGGCTGGGCCATCCCTGCCAGCGCCCACCCTCCACCCTGCAGGGTTTCCCTTCATGCCCCCGTACTGGGGCCTGGGCTTCCACCTCTGCCGCTGGGGCTACTCCTCCACCACCATCACCCGGCAGGTCGTGGCCAACATGACAGCAGCCCGCTTCCCCCTGGTAGGTCTGGGCTGCTCTGGAGCCTCTGGCCCAGCGGCCGTGGGGGGCTGCCGGGAGCTGTGGGCTGGGGGTCCCACAGCACCGGTGCCTCCATCCACAGGATGTGCAGTGGAACGACCTGGATTACGCAGATGCCAAGAGGGATTTCACCTTCAATAAGAAAAGCTTTAAGGACTACCCGGAGATGGTGCGGGACTTCCACAGCCGCGGGCTGAGGTACATCATGATCGTGGTGAGTTACACGGGCAGGCTGGCACTGGGCTTCAGCTGCCCAAGGGGGGTGATGAAGGCAGGGCTGGCCGTTCCCTGCTGTTGCTGGTAAAGCCCTGGCTTTGTGCCCTTGCAGGATGCTGGCATCAGCAGCTCGGGGCCCCCCGGCACCTACAAGCCGTACGACGAGGGCCTGAAGCGGGGGGTGTTCATCCGGAACGCCACGGGGCAGCCCCTGATCGGGAAGGTGATGTGGGGAGCAGCCCCAGAGCCCACGGGACAGGGCTCGAGTGGGACCCCAAGAACGGGACAGAAACGTTTGGGGGGCCGTGGTGGAAAGTGGGGTGGTGTGTGGGGCTGGGGCTCTGCCCAATGCTCTCCCTCCTGCAGGTCTGGCCGGGCCCCACGGCCTTCCCGGACTTCACCAACCCAGCGACTCACGAGTGGTGGCACGACATGGTGAAGGACTTCCACGAACAAGTGCCCTTCGATGGCATGTGGCTTGTGAGTGGCCCAGGTGTAGCTGCTGGCCCTGGCTCCTGCCCTGCCCCTCTGCTGGCCCCCAGTGCAGCAGCCAGGTCATGCCATCCTTTCCTCCCCTCCCCAGGACATGAACGAGCCCTCAAACTTCGTGGAGGGCTCCCAGCACGGCTGTCCCAACAACAACCTGGAGCATCCCCCCTACGTGCCGGGTACAGGGGCGGGTTCCAGCCCTGCCCGGGGCTGTGGGGGAGCCGGGAGGAGCCCGGGGGATGCTGAGCTCCGCCTCTCCCCTGCAGGTGTATTTGGGGGACGCCTGCAGGCCGGGACCATCTGTGCCTCCAGCCAGCAGTACCTGTCCTCTCACTACGACCTGCACAGCCTGTACGGGCTGACCGAGGCCATCGCCTCCCACGAGTAAGCTCGGGGCTCTGCCACAGCTCCTGCACATCCTGGGGGAGACCCAGCCTGGGCAGGCACCGGGTGCTGGCTGAGGTGTGGTGTGTGGCACTGTGGGATCCCCGAGCCCCTTCCCCAGCTGGGGGGGGCTGAGCAGACCCATCCCACTCCCAGTGCTCTGCTGAGGGTCCGGGGCAAGCGTCCCTTCATCATCTCCCGCTCCACCTTCTCTGGGCACGGCCGCTACGCCGGGCACTGGACAGGAGATGTTGGCAGCGACTGGGAGCAGCTCTACTACTCCATACCAGGTAGGCTGTGGGGCACGGCACCCACAGCCCCGCTTCCCCTTCCCCCACAGCCAGGGGCTCCTCCATAGGCTCCATGCCCTGGTGCTGCAGAGCCCCGATGCCCTCTGTGCCCTCCGCAGAGGTGCTGCTCTTCAACCTCTTCGGGGTGCCGCTGGTGGGTGCCGACGTCTGCGGCTTCATGGGCGACACGAGCGAGGAGCTGTGCGTGCGCTGGACCCAGCTGGGCGCCTTCTACCCCTTCATGAGGAACCACAACGACCACGGCACCCGGGTGAGCCCTGGGAGCCCTCACCCCGCCGGGGGCTGCCCTGCCAGCGTGGGAAGGCCGGTCCAGCCGCGGGGCCGCGTGCCCCCAGCGCGGGGAGAGTCCATCCTGCATCCCTGAAATGCACCCTCCGCTCCTCCCCACCTGGGCCGAGCATCCCCCTGGGCCTCTCCCCACAGCCACAGGAGCCCTACACCTTCAGCCCTCCTGCCCAGGCTGCCATGAGGAACGCCCTGCGCCTCCGCTACTCCCTCCTGCCGTTCCTCTACACCCTGTTCCACCGGGCTCACACCGCCGGCGAGACCGTGGCTCGGCCGCTGTTCCTCGAGTGAGTGCCAGCCCCGCCGGGGCTCAGCGGGAGGGCAGCAGGGTCTCCTGGTGCTGCCCTCCCCTCCTTCCCCAGGTTCCCCACAGACCCCAACAGCTGGGCCGTGGACCGCCAGCTCCTGTGGGGCGGGGGGCTGCTCGTCACCCCCGTGCTGGAGGCAGGACAGACCAAAGTCAGCGGTTACTTCCCGGCGGGGACGTGGTACAGCCTGGCAGGGGTGGGTGCTCTGCCGTGTGGCACAGGGGCTGTGCTGAGGCTCCTTGTGCATGTAGCTGCATCTCACCAGTCCCCTGGGGCTGTGTGAGGGTCTCGTGCCTCACCTGCCTTTGCTGGTGGCCATTTGAGGGCTCTGGCGCTGGGCTGAGCCCCCCTGCCCCGAGGCACCCTGTACCTGCTCTTTATCTTTATTCACGGTGTAGGACTCCACCATCCACAGCAAAGGGCAGTGGATCCTCCTGCCAGCCCCCCTGGACACCATCAACGTCCACGTCCGTGCAGGGCACATCCTGCCCCTGCAGGTGAGTCCCCTCTGCCCTGTGGTGCCACCAAGGTGACCCTGCCGAGCGGCCTGGGAGTGTCACAGCGCCGGCAGCAGTGTCACACCCCAGCTGCAGTGTGGGGCTGGGGGACAGGGCTGGGCAGTGCCCCGAGCTGTGCCCACCCCTGCCCCAGGAGCCCACCCTCAGCACTGCCCAGTCCCGCAGCAAGGGCATGGCCTTGGTGGTGGCGCTGACCCTGGACGGCTTCGCCAGGGGAGACCTGTTCTGGGACGATGGGGAGAGCTGGGAGACCTTTGAGAGGGGGGACTACACCGAGATCCTCTTCCTGGCCTCAAACGTGAGCACGGGGAGCTGCTGGCAGGGGGCACCTGGGCAGGGGCTGCTGCTGGCCCTGGCACACCTGTGAACGCTCCGAGGGGCAGCCCTGGGTGCCCGTGGGGTGGCTGAGAGCCGGGAGCACGCGGTGACATCCCCGCTGTCCCCAGGACGCCGTGCTCAGCCAGCTGCTGCGGGCGAGCCCCCACCTCGACGGGGTCCTGCTGGAGGCCGTGACTGTGCTGGGCGTCACCAGCCCTCCCCAGAGAGTCCTGGCCAACGGCGCCTTCGTCAGCGACTTCTCCTACCGCAGTGACACCCAGGTGAGTGCCTGGTGCCACCTGGGAAGGGACCCAGAGTGCAGCAGGGGGGTCTGGCCCCAGCGGTGGCACAGCACGGGCCATGGGTGCCCTTCCCAGGGGATCTGTGGGAGCAGGACTGTGCCAGGCTATGGCTCTGCACGGAGCAGGAGCCCCCTGGGCTCTGACACTCCTGGGCTCCATCCTGGCTGGCTCTCACCTTCCTTCTCCCCTCAGGTGCTCAGAGTCCCTGTGTCACTGCCCATGTGGGAGCAGTTTGTGATCTCCTGGTCCTGAGTCAACGTCGGTCACAGGGAGAGGCCACGCTGCTTCCCTGGAATCTGAGGCCAAATCCATCCCCATCCCTTGTACCCGGGGCTGTCCCTGCTCTTCCCACACCCCTGGGCCTTGTTTTCCCTCTGGCTGTGGGGTGGTGATGGAGGGGTGTGCACTGGACTGGCAGAGGGAGAGGGAAAACCTCATCATCATCATCAAATCAGGGGAAAAATGACCCAAGTGCCTTGTGAGGCAGCAAACCAGTTACTCTGGGGGACTGGTAACTGGGGCAGAGGCTGCAGGGAGTTTCCTGGCTGTGGTTTTGGGGAGGGGGATGTGCAGGAGCTGAGGGAGCAGTACTGTGAATAAAGCTGCTGTTTGCTGGGAGCAGCCCCAGGCTGTGTCCTTGTCCCCTCTCCTGGTCCTGAATGTGCTCAGCCCCCTGCCCCTGGCTCTGTCCTTGGCTGGAGGTCTCCAGTGGGATCCCCTGTGCCCCTTGAAGGCTTCACCCCATTTCCCAGAGCGCTGGGGGTCCCCAGCTGTTCCTGCAGCCCTGGCTGTGCCACAGAGGCCCTTGGCCTGTCCTGGCTCCAAGCAGGGGCTGCTGCAGGGTGCAAAGGGAACCTCATCCTCCAGAGGCTTTATTGAGGGGCAGCTCGGCCCTTTGGCTCCTCTGGCTGACAGTCAAGGCCCCGGGAATTCCTCGGTGCTCTGGGGCCGGGCGGTGTTGGCAGCACAGGGGGCAGAGCCTCGCGGTGTCACCCGGGGTTTGGGACCAGCTCACCCGTGACACCGCCCCGAGCGCTGGCACCCCACGGGAGCACAGGACTGTCCCAGGCACAGGTGGCACTCACAGCTCGTTGTGCAGCGGCCGGCACTGCGGGCTCAGTTTCTCCTCCAGGACGGCGTCGGGGGCGCACACCCAGGGGTCCCCCGTGTCCCACTGCCACTTCAGGAGCCGCGCACGGAGCAGCTGGAAGAGGTCGGCGTAGCGGGGGTCGGGGGCCAGGTTCTGGCTCTCGCTGGGGTCACGGCTGCAGTCGAACAGCTCCCAGCGCTCCCGGTAGTAGTACCGGTGCAGGCTCTTGTTCCAGTGCGTCGGCTGCCCCGCCCTGCTGCGCTTGAGCAGGTCTTGGAAGGTGGGCGAGACGTACAAGTCCTGGTCAATGGGGAAGGGCATCTTGTAGTTGAGGTTGTGGATGAGGCGGAACTGCCGGTGCTGCACGGCCCGCATGGGGTAGTACATGGTCACCTCGTGGTGGCTCTGGCTGCTGAAGGCGGTGGCCCAGGGCTGCTCCGACTCCAGGGCTGGCAGGAGAGACTTCCCAGTGAGCTGCACCTGCCTTGAGCCAAAGATGCTGTAAGCAGGGTAGGGGATGGAGAACCAGTCCAGAATGGTCGGTGTCAGGTCTGGAGGGGAGGAAAAGGGTGAGAGGAGGGACAGGCACTGTGGGAGGAAACTCAGCCCCAGAGAGGGGCAGAAAGGTCCCCGGGGCTGGTGTCCCTGCAGGGGACCCAGTTCTGTCCTCCCCCCACTCCCTCCCCTGCACTGGCCCTGCCAATGCTGAGGGCTCGGGGCCAGCGCCAGGGACAGGACGGGGAGCAGCCTACCCCCCCAGGCACAGCTGTGCTGCCCCCCTCCCTCAGCTCTTACCCAGGAGGGTGGCGAAGGCCGGGCTGACCTGTCCCCAGCGCTGGGGGTGCTCGGGGGAGGAGAGGAGCAGCGGCTCGGCGCTGCCCGAGCGGTACAGGTTGGTCCTGCCGCCGGGGAAGGGGATGCCGTTGTCGGAGGTGTAGATCACCAGGGTGCTGTTGAGGAAGCCGGCGTGGCGCAGCTCCTGCAGCACCAGCCCGATCCCTGCGGACGGGGGGACAGAGCTCAGGGGCAGGGAGGGGCTGCAGAGCTCGCCAGCCCCAGCCTGGCCCACGGCTCCCACCTTGGTCCATGCGCCCGATGGTCGTGTACTGCGCAGCCAGGTCTGCCCGGGCAGCCGGCGTGTCCGGGACAAAGGCAGGGACCTAAACCGAGCCGGGGAAAGGGGAACGTGGCTGACACTGTGACAAGTGACGAGTGACAAGTGACAAGGTGGGGGCCAGCCCTGGCTCCATCAGAGGCTGCCATCACGTGCAGCCCCACAGAGCCCCACACACCCCCACAGGTTCTCACCTGCACTTGTTCTGGGTGGTAAATCTGTGGTTTCCAGTCAGGGATCCAGCCCATGCCGCTCTCACCATTGCCAAACTTCTCACAGAAGGCCCCGTATTGGGGCTGGGAGTGCCCGCAGCGGTGGGGGTCGTGGAAGGCAACATAGAGGAAGAAAGGCCTAGGGATGGAAAGGGGGATGTGGAGCTGGTGAAGCCGAGGACTGCCCAGAGACCTTCCTGACCACAGCGAGCTGGGGTCAGCAGGACTCCCCCCACCTCATCTGGATACAAGGTGACCCAGTATAGATGCTAACTATGAAACAGGGAGCGCAGTGCCTGTGGAAAAGCAGGCTGCATAACTTTCTCAGTCTCGCCTGAGAAAGTGCCCTGGGAAATCATAAAGAGGAATTAAAACAATCCTCAGAGATAGAAAACAGCCTTGCAGGTGCTGTTTGTCAGTTTCTTGTTTTCTTGCAAGTGAAGTTCGAGGGGTGGTGTACCCCACTGAGCAATGATGGTGATGTGTTAGTTCACTGACCAATAAGAGTTTTGCTTTTCTGTACTTTCGTGTATCGATCTGTAAAAGAAGATCTGAAGAAATAAATGAGATAACCTGTTTGAGTCACAAGAGAGTCTGTGTCGTTCCTCTCGCCATTCCCAGTAGAGCGACAACCCAGTGACAGGGGGCCCCTTCCTGTTTGTGTCCAGCTGGGCCATGGGAACACATCTTCAGTGAAGCCAGTTTCCCTCCCCCCACAGCCATTCCCAGGACGAGGGGCCCGTCTCACCTCTCGTCCTGGCTCTGCAGGAACCGCCGGACGAGCGCCTTGATCCGGGTGATGTTTCTCCCAACCTGCAGGACCGAACTGTTCTCCTCTGTGTAGGCGAAGTCAAAGGGGTACACAGCCTCGGGCCCCACGTGCTTCTTCCCAATTATCCCTGCGAGAAGCAGACAGCTGCTGTGCCAGGAGCAGTGGGAGGGGGGGACGTGGCTGCTGCTGTCTCCTCTCTGTGGGGACAGACACGGGTCCAGACAGTGCTCCCCAGCCCATGGGCAGTTCAGCCAGCAAGCTCTGACAGTGGGGTTTGGTGCTCCCACCTGTCCCAGCTCCCCAAATATCCCAGCTCCTGTCCCAGCTCCCCACCTGTCCCAGCTCCTGTCCCAGCTCCTGTCCCAGCTCCTGTCCCAGCTCCTGTCCCAGCTCCCCACCTGTCCCAGCTCCTGTCCCAGCTCCTGTCCCAGCTCCTGTCCCAGCTCCTGTCCCAGCTCCCCACCTGTCCGGACGCCTGCCTGGCTGAGCACCTGGGGCAGGCTCCTCACGCCGTCGAAGGAGTTGAAGTGATGCACGTCCTGGTGCAGCCCGTACATCCCGTTCTGGTGCTGCAGGTGAGGGGACACAGCACGGTGGGACCAGGGCTGCCATCCCGGCCCCGAAACGCGTCCAGCCGTGCCCGTGACCTCTGCCGCGGGCTGGCAGCCCCGGCCCGGCGCAGGCAGGTGCCCGTACCTGGGGTAAGCCGGTGAGGATGCTGGCCCGGCTCGGGGAGCAGCTGCTCACGGAGGTGAAGGCGTTCTGGAAGACCAAACCGCGCCGGGCCAGAGCGTCCAGGTTGGGGGTCCGGATGGCCGAGTTGTTGTAGGCGCCGCTCTCAAAGCCGGCGTCATCGGCTGCGGGACGGGCGCGGGGTCAGCCCGGGGTGTCCCGGACCGGGCACTGCTGGCACCGGGAGCATCCCCGGGCCGCGGGTGACCCGGGCGCTGCTGCGGAGGGGATGCAGCCCCGAATGGAACCCGGGGCCGTCCCTCCCTGCCAGCTGCGGGACGCCCCCAGCCCCGGGCAGGCGGTTCCGGGCCGCACTCACCCAGGAGCAGCAGCACATTGCGGGCCGGGGCTCCGCCGGTCCGGAGCGCGCCCAGCAGCAGCAGCAGCGCCCAGGGCCGCATGGCAGCGGAACCGGCACCGGCACCGGCACCGGCACCGGCAGCGGAACCGACACCGGCACCGGCAGGAGCAGCGGGGCTCGGCGGCTCCTCCG